TCGACCTCGGACCCCCCGGTGGTGGCGCCAGCGTGCTGAAGGCGTGTAGGCGTGGGTCGGGCTTGATCTGCAGCAGCGCAGAGTACTCGTCGTCGGAGAAGTCGCTCATCGCGTTGTAGCGCATGATAAAGCTCGCGTTGGGCTGCGCGTTGTGTTCTATACCGAACGCATGAGCGCTCCATTGCGCTAGCAGTATGCGTACCTTGGATGAGGCGCGACGTCTTGTCGAGCGCGGCCTGTCGTGCGGCCTTGGACTGCCGCGGCGGCGGCGGCACGCCCATGCGGTGGAGCTCATGGTGGCGGTGGATAGCCGCGTCAAACTCGTCGATCGTCGGCGGCGCCATGGCGCCGAGGTGCATGCCATGCGCTTCGTGGCAGACAACCGCGAGGCCGAGGAACGCGAGGAGCTGCATGTCGGCGTGTGGTCGACGGCTCGAAAATGGCAAGTGAAATGATTTACGGGCGACCGTCCGTGACGAAAAGGGGTGCACGCGATCTGTAACACAGGCTGAATTTGTTAGAATTCAGCAACACGCTGCATCGACCCGTCCTGATCTGTTATAACATCAGGAGATAATGGCCGACGCACCCTTTTCTGGCACAGCTCGGGTTGCCGTAACAATCCCCACAGCCGCCATGGCAAGCCCGCCTCTCCCAGTCGTCCTGGTGGTACCGTGCTACTACTACTACAGTAGCTCAACGACCGTCGTCGTCGTCACCGTGGCGACGACGGTGGCACAATACGTCGGCACGTACTGGTAGGGTTAAAAACCTCCTCAAAACAACTTGTCTAGAGTTGGTTTCACTATATCGGTATTGCCGGCGGGACGATCGATATGTCACCACCATGAGTTGCGGCTCCCTCCCGGATGCTTCAGGACCCACTCGTATTAAATGGAGTATGGCCCTTTCCTAGCTTTCATTCGAGCCATGTCTGAGATGCAGTCGCAGCAACAAGATATGCCCAGCAACGGATTAGTGACGAGGTGTCGTCTACTTGGTCGTTTTTTGGAAACGGCGCCCGAAACGCCAGGCGCCTTTTTAGCCATCAAGCATGATCGCCAGCCGCGCCGTGCCCGTGCTGCTTGTCGCCGTCGCGGGTGCGAGCGTGCCCTACCGCCAGTGTGTCTATGGAGCCGCACCCTCGGTGGCGCCCAAGCGACCGAGCTTGCGGCTTCTGCACCAACTCTGCGGCCTGCACTGCCTCTTGCTGCCGCTCAGTGTGCTCGTATGCGACGACTTGCCTTGCTGGATCGGCTACGTCACGCAGTTTCTACTACCGGCCATCACAAGGTTCGCTATAGCCTCCAAGAAAAGGCGCGGAGGTGCACTGTTGTAGTGCTCTCTTCCTTGTCGCCCATACATCCCTCCTCCTTTTGCGGTCGTTCACCAAGGCGCTACTCGTGTACAAGAACCCACCAGAGTCGTCAATGCCGACGCGAAAGCTTCGGTACCTGCAGCGCGCCGTCGCACCGCCCGTGTGTCCGACAGTCGCGAGCGTTCTAGTGCTCGCCTCGCTGGCACCGTACGTTGCCATCCAAGCATCCGTGCTCTCACTGCACGTCGAGGCATGTCAAACAACCGATGCTTTTCAGGTAGAGTGCTCTCTCAGCTACCACCTCGATCGTTGTCGGCACAGACGCTTCGGGCGATACAAGTCGGTCATGCCACAATATGGGGCCTCTTGGCCAGTGCGCTCGCCATGTACCACCGCCAAGAGCGCGCTGCGTTTACCGTCACGTTGCTCGGCCTCGTGGGCACCTACCTCTGTCTCGTGTTGTCGTTGGTGATGCCGTCACTGGTCACGTACCATATCGGTGACGCCGGTATTCTGTTGTTGCACTTTCTCACATTGCACTTTGGCCTCCCAACGGCCTCACCCAGTAGGCACCTCTACGATCTGAAATAAGATATGAGGTGTGGCGTAGGCCAGCGTCATGCATCGCCCAAGGTGCGAACGTTCCAATTGCGGTCGCACTCGATCGTCGACGACCCGTTTGCGACCGTGCAGCTCGAAGACCTCCAGAGCTTCTTACTTGACGCCGTGCACTTCGACCAGTTTCTCGCCCACGCAGTGGAGATGCAGCGGGTGACCGAGCTCCTCACGTGGCAGCTCGTACAGCACTACAAGGCCAAGCGCGTCTCGATCAAGGTCGTCTACAACCTCTGCTTGGCACCCCACGCGGTCCTTGGGTCGAACGCAGCGTCTGCGCTCGGTCCCCGCATCGCCGCCTTTGTCAACAAGCCACATTCCGACATTATCGATCGGCTTCTCGATACGCTTCATGATAAGCTGCTGCGAGTGCTCATCAACGACGTCCTCCCGAGCTATCGCGACAGCAGCCCGACGTGGGACACGTACTTGCACCGGTCCAACATTTTGCGCGACTGCGCCCAGCCAAAGGGCCCGCAAATGCCCGAAAGCATCTCGGCCACGGCGCTGCGCGGAACAAGCGATTTAGAGAGCGGTGGTCGAGCGGTCTCGAGCGACCGAAGCGGGTCGGCGCGTCGTGCGGGCAGCATCCTATCAGCAGCGTCGCTCGGCCTCAGCCCTTCGTCACGGCCGCGCGCCCCCGAGCGCCAAGGCACAGTATTCACAGCACGTTCCATCATGCTCGCGCCGTGACCGCTGTTCCAATCGAGTCAATTATCAAACCCCATGACTTGACAGCGATGTGGTTGTTGGAGCACAGACGCCACAACTGTTGGATTATGTTGGGTTGCCACGCAGCAAGCTACACACGACGCAGCACTGTAGCAGCGGTGGTGGCGTTCGCAACTGAGGTGCATCGCTCCTTCTGGTCGAGAAAGTGACAATAGACTTTGAATGGATACTACAGGCGTACCTTCTTGCAGTCCAAGACGGCCTGTCGCATGGAGCGTGTCATCAAGGTGATCTGGCTTGGTGGCTTGGCGTGCGATGGTTGCTTGGGGCTGCGCTGCGTCGTGGGCGAGTTCGAGGAGGACCGCGGAGCGGCGTCCGTGCGCCTTATCCAGCTACTCAGAAATCGTGTTCACCTGCACCAACTCGTCCAAAGGCGTTGTTGGGTTGTACAGGGGTAGGGTAAATGATTGTATTTCAAATCAAATGCGTTGTCGATGCAACCAGGCTATCGCACGCAAAAGATGTGAGCGAAGCCAACGGAAATTAGCTACCGGTATTGGCGCCACTCACCACGATCCTGGCACCAAGCACGACCGACCATGCGACGGCGTCACGACACTGTTGCATGGCCCCACATGTGTAACTGCGCTACAAGTGGCTTCCCCCGCGCTCATGCGAAGCGTCAGCTAGCAGCGTCTCGTGCTCGCAGGCCGAGCAAGTGGCCGGCGCAGGCTCATTTTAACGACACGGAGCGCCATCGCAACAAAGTCCAAGCTTAGTCACCAACTTGGCACCATGTCGTCTGTCGCTCATCACAACAAACTGTTCTTGGAACTCTTTTTTCTCAAAGTAGTAAAAGTTGAGGTCGGTGGGCTATCTAACATTCCAATCCAACACGTTGAACATACTGTGTTTGGTGGAGCTCCCGCACCACTCGTGGTATCGCACCTCCACGGCCCCTGCGATGCTCGAGTGGATGATACATTGATACATCCATGGCCTTCCTCATTTCGCATATTTTTAGCCGGCAACGACCATCGACGTGGCCGCAATGGTCGAGGCCCACGCGGCGCCGCTGCTCGTCGTCTCGGCGTGCTACCTTGTGCTGCCGATCGAGCTTCTCTGGCGACAGTCACACACGCTGCCGCCCTCGTCGTCCAACCAAGGCATCAAGTACCGATGGTACCTTCGCTGCATGCTCCTCGCCACTGCACTCTGCGTTCTCGTCTGCGCCGGTCTACCTGTCGTCATCATCGCTGGCTCCGACTGGCCATGCGCCATGCTCTTCGCACTGCGTATGGTCGTTCCGACCTGCACAGCGTAGACCCTCGAGAGCCCACCAACCGATCCTGCTGATGCGTTGATGCTAGGAGCCTCGTTCTCATCGCACACCTCTCGGTGCACTTGTCGTGGTCCATGACCAACCTCTTTGCGCGGCTCGCGGACCCGCGGGCGCCGTCACGGGTGGTCTTGCGCCAGCTGCGGTCGCTCCGCACGCACGTGGCGCCGGCGCGGTTCGTCGGCGCGTCCGCAATCTTCTTCCTCGTCGTTCTGTCGCCCTATCTGTTTGTCGGACCCGTCCGATCTTTGCCTTGGACGTAGCGAGCTGCCAAGGCGACGCGCGCTACCAAGTATGAACTGAATGGATTCGCTTCTCGCTT